ACACTGCTGCTCTCCTGCAATTCTGTTTTGTAACTCACATTATATTGTAGGTACAGATAAACCATTAAAAGGAGAGGGAGCACGGTAGAGTGGATTGAGTACCAGACCTGTAGTCAAGAACACTTGGTTTCAAAACTTGCCTTAGACACTTACTAAGTAGGTAACTCAAAATAAATCATTTCCTCTCTCTGAGTCTCAGTTTCCTCAACTGTAAAATGAGAATAATAATAGCATCTACCTCATAGCGTGGTTGTGAGGACCAAATGAGATAACTTAAGTAAAGTATTTAACCTTAATGCACTAAATAATGCCAGATGTTGTTGTTATTATTGCTGAGGCCTACTTCACACTCTACTACTTTAGCATAGTGTCACTCAGGGGTTCATGAGGAAGGAATCAGAAACTAATGGAATAGGAGGGGACAGGGATAGAAGGAACAGGCTGCAAAGAAAAGAAGGAATACGTTTGTTAAATGTATAGGTTTTAAGAAGCATGATTCTTTGACAAAGTTTCATGCCCCAATCAATATTTGCCCTTAACTAGTCCGAAAATCAACAGGTGGCAATCCCTAAAATGTATGAAATTCTTAAATAGGTAAGAAAATGTCAAAAATTTCCCAGAACTGACTTTTGAAACCTCGAGATCCTCATTTGTGAAGAAAAAGAAGGAAGAAAATCTCACAAGCAGACATTCATTGAAGGGATGAGGTTAGAGAATGCCCTATACCTATGAGCCACTAATGAGCAAAGGCAAAATATGTTTTCAGGGGCAAAAGTTCAGCAAATTAATTTTCTGCCAGCAGTCATATCACTGTGGACATCTTTAAGGCTGCATCCTTTGAACATTAGCACTTTCTGACATTTATATGAAGGGCTCATTGAAGGTCTTAAAGAAATGTGCCTCCTCCCTCTTCAATTTAGAGTGGCCATTTTGCTCTCTCAGACTTCGGCAAATGACTCTAGGAATAAGAGCTCCATTTATTTCCATGTACTTCTGACTTCAGTGCTCAAAAGTGTGCATGGTTATTAACTGTCTAGTTTAAACCCAGCGCTTTTCATTTGGAAACCACTTATCACCTACTTCATTTAGAGGAAAGATTCAAGAGGGCCCGTTGTTCTGTGTTTATGGGTAGTGAAGAAAGGTGAGTATTTCACAGTTTAAATAAAAAGGGAAGGAAAGAAAAATATATATACTTTAAATTTAAGAAGCATCTATTATGCCCTTTGATACAAGATTGCCTTAGATGTTATTTTTTTTTTTGGTTTGGTTTTTTCCCCTCTATTTCTCTGGCATTCATATGAACTTCCTTAGTATGCAAAAAGTTGGAAACTAGTTATTTACCCTGTTTATATGTTTGATTATTTTCCTGAGTACCTTATATTTATATACTTTTGCATTTTGATTTAAACATCTAACATCTTTCTATCTATATTAGTTTTTGGACTTAGAATCAAAGGTTGATTAAACAAATACTCATAGAAACAAAACACTGTACCAAAACTATGTTGCATTGCCCGTCAATGATTAATAATAATAGCTGGTACTTATATAGAATTTTGAGGTTTGCAAAACGCTTTACAATTATCATTTCTTTTTAACCTCACAAAAGGTGAGGTTTATCCACACAATAGGTGCTATTATTATCCTTACTTTACAGATAAGGAAACTGATGTAGAGGTTAAGTGACTTGTCCAGATTCACATAACTACTAAATTTATGAGGCAGAATTTCAACTTGACTTCTTGATTCTAAGCCCTATGCTCTACCCATTGTACCACCTAACTGCCAAGTGACTGAGTCATATGAAGAAAGTTTGGGATTTCAAATGGATTCCCTAGTATTGCAAAGCATTATTTCTCTACAAAGATTAGGCAAGATAGGCCTCTCTGGACTAGTCTTTAGGAGATTTTGGCCTATAAAATTTTCAATTGAAACAAATATGGAAACAAAGATATATGTATAGGAGTGGGAGGAATAGGAGGGTGGTGGTGGTGGTGGAATCAATCCATACATTAAGATATTGCTCCCTACCAAGTTCCATAATCATTTATTTTTGTTGATACAGATACTCAATCAGTTTAACTTTCCCTTCTGGTTTTCAGGGAGAAACAAGGCCTTTGGAGTTGATTCCTCATATCTGAAGAGGAGATGGCTTTATTCTTGAGGAAGGGGAAGCTGAATTCTCTTGCTTGGTGTCTCTTCCCATGATGCTAACTAGTTGCTCTATAGCACCCCACATGGTTCCAGCCCATTAACCCGGACACAACAGCTTGATGAATTAATGCTTATGTAGGAACAGTTGTCAGCTTCTAATTAAATAATTATGGCTAAGCAGCTGCACAGAAGCAGTAATGTACCCTAGAAAGCCAGCTGTCAATTTTATTGGTCCTAAGATGGAGGAAGAGTTAAAATTTGCTGTGAAAATTGAGTATGAAGGAGAAGGATCTCATATGTGAGATACAGGCTGCACTGTAGAAGGAACCTCCCTGTTTATGTTAGCCTGCCCATAGAGAAATGGAAAGCAAACAGCTCTTCCACCATCTCCCAGCAACCAGCCAAGAAGGAAGCCATCACACGGCTGTGGGAAAAGAGGCTGCTTCCAAAAGCAAGCTAAATACTTCATCTTTGAAAAGTGAGATTTCTATAAACCCAAAATACTGATTCACACACAGGCAAAAATACATCTCCCATGACTTCGGTCTCAATTTAAGTTGAAGGAATAATTTTGAAAAATCCCTTATGATTTCTTATTATATTTCTTCTGAATATGTCTTTATTAAAAGATATTTCTCTCCTAAGTATGCCCAGGAATATTTCTTGCATTCAGCTAAAGTTTCTTAAGATGACTTGATTTCAAATCTTAAAAATTAAAGTGCTATAAATAGTTTGGCCTTCATTTGACCTGTAACCAAGATTTCTGATATGGTTTTCAAAAATGTTAAAGAACAGGTTTGTTCTGAGAAAATCTAAGTCATGATGCTAAGGGAACTTTTTTTTTAGAGGAAGAGAAGGAAGGTAGGGAGTGATTTCATCAGTGTAGGGCATTCCCTGTGTGTAAAGTCCTTCTGCCAGTGTAGATTGGCAACTATCTGGAACTTAGCATTTAGAGAATTGCTTTAACAACTGAGAGATCTGCCTGTGGTCTCACATCTAATATGTATTAAAGACAGACCTTAAATCCAGGTCTTCCTGAATACAAGGCCAGCTCTCTATCTATTATGCCATATTCCCTTCCTAAAAGGACTTTCAGGAGGCGTAAGCAGCCAGGACCCTAATATGGCCGTATTTTCACGATTAGAAGTTTTGCCTGAGGAAAAATAGCAATACCAGGCTGCTAAACTCTATCAGGCGGAAAGTCACAGGCTTCTGATAGAGGCCCCAAATAGGGTCGTTGGACCACATAATGTTGTTATTACACATCAGTGCACTCTTGCCCTGATACATAATTTCATTCTTCGCTACCTGTTGGCATCTCTGTGTCTTCACAGTATTAACTTCGACAAACCATCTACCAGATAACAAGGCCTCAAAGGGGAGTGAAGGTTATTATTGTCCCCTTCACCAAGTCTCTAAATAGATAAATGCTGCTATAAAAAGAGATTGGGTTCAATAAAGGCAGAGGCCTTTTAGTTCTTTAAAGTCGAAAGAAGTAGGAAATTACCTCCTTGGATTTTTGAATCACACAAATTACAGATTCAGTTTGTAAACAGAGGGGGAAGTTTTTTTTAAAAGAACCACATCTGGACAGCTAAAAAGGAAATACAACATTGAGTTTAGATGATTTAGGTTAAAATCAGCAGTTTACACCAGTAACCTACTAGGCAGGTCGGTGTATTTTCAATTACCAATTTAGGTGTCTCCTCTTAAGTGGCCTATAGTTCCTAGTTTATTTGAGGTAAATATTATTTCATCATAGAAAGTACTATGACTCCAAAGTCTTGAGCTAGTCAAGATGAACTGACTTCCAAGTAATCTCGTTAAAACCATTCAGTGTGAAAGTTTCATTTTTTCTTTTTCCTCCTCTGTTTATTCTTAGAGCAGCTCAGCAGCCTGACAGTGCCTGAACAAGACTGACTTTTCTCAAGGACCTATTACCTTTTGAGAAGAATTTCTGTTGAACACTGGCAGTAATTAAGTCTGTAGGGCATTTGGTGGTGGTTGGGGTTTGGGGACGGGGAGGAACGATGCTGTTAGTGCTACTGCCACAGCTGCAATATCCACAGAGCAAACTGTAGGAGTCAAATGGCAGATTTGGAAAGGAAAGAAAGAAAGAAAAAGAAAGAAGGAAAGGGAGAGAGAGAGAGAGAGAGAGAGAGAGAGAGAGAGAGAGAGAGAGAGAGAGAGAAAGAGACAGAGAGACAGAGACAGAGAAAGAGAGAGAAGAAAAATCCCCCCATATTTCAATCTTGGTGGCAGATAAGGGGGACTTTTAGCAGTCTGTACTGCCACCTAGCCTAGACCACACCACTTAGTTCAGTTTATGTTTTCAAAGCCCACAATTAAATCAAGTCCTCAGCAACCCATTTATTATTAGACAGAAATTTCTGGCAACAACATAAATGCTTAAAAACTTCTACAGCACATCTGAAGCCTTTTTAGGTCCTACTCAGTAAGCTACTCCATGAAAACTCACCACCTTCTACGTAGAGTTTAACTTTGCAAATCAAGAAAACATAAACAGATATGTAAAAACCATACTTATTTGTTTCCCATTATGCATGTTACCTGTATCAAGTTTGTTAGCATCTTATGATCCTGAGGCCTTAGAGCAAGTCATGATCTTAGTAAAAAAATGAATAAAAGTTTACCTTTTGAAAGACATGGTGGCAGAAGGTACAACCTCTGACACTCTATGTAGAATTCAAGGCTGAAGAATCCTAGGACATTATACCTTGGACGATGAACTGAAAACTCTGACGCTCTCAAATTCCGCAAGATAGAACTGATTTACATACCAATAGACAGACCCAAGAAGACTCTGAAAAACCTCGTGTACTTACGGTAGAAGACATATTCAGTGTAGCTGGACCAGATCTTGTCATCTGTGTACTGATTGACAAAAGAAGCTGTCACTGAGGAATTACAGGCCACCATGTGGAATCCACACTCTGACAACATATCAAAAGCCCTTTCCAGATGTTTGAATTTTAGATAAAATCTGGAAGTGTATCTTTCTGGAGCACGATCTGGATCTCTGCTCTCATTTAAAGTTTCTCCAAAGACCTCTTTTGCTAGGGAAATTCTTCCACAAACCAAAATACGTGGAACTCTCCGAAACTTGGCATCTGCTTGACCCTCTCGGCCCATGGTGCATGACCCTCGATAGCCAACAGTTATGAAGCCCCACTTACGGTCAGCAGGAAGTAGGGATGAAGGTGGACATATTCTTGTGTCACTCCCTTGGGACATATCCTCAAAATCACTATGGCAGTATTCATCTGGGCTTTGCTTGATCTCATCAGGTGTCAAGAGTTTGACCAAATCTGGTAGCTGGAAATACTCAGCTTCCCTTTTCAGTCTGCCCCTTTCTGGAAAGTGATCAGGCAGAACTACCTGCCTGTCCCTGAGATAGTCCAGTATGTAGCGGAACAAGAATCCATCTCTGTCAATAAAGAATCTTCCTTTGGAGTCCTTGGCTAGTTCATTAGCACTGTCTCTCTTGGGGGAAAACATTTTCCATAGAAGAGAGTGAGGGATACTTACTAAGGTGGAATGGCGAGTGAAATAAACTTGGCCCCCAACATTTAGTTCCACAACCTCAGGGAAGGAGTTGGGAACTGTCCCTTGTTCTTTTGAAAGATGGTAACTCCTGCAATTTCCACTCAGAGCCATTGTCTTTTATTTAGTTTTAAAAGATGTAATCCAATGGAATTACAGCCTAATCCTTTGCATCAGCTTAGTAGAGAGTAAGGAAAAGAGTTTCACACATTTAAAAGAATCTCCTGTTTTCTCCAATATATTCTATAAGAAATAAAAAATTAAAAAAAATTAGAATTGCCCGCAGGTGAACATATCACTGATTCAGAAAAAGTAACTGAAACACTAACTGGTGGTATACAGTTACTTCATGGAATGTAATCAACTCATCTACATCATATCTTCCATCAACCTCAGACTGCAAGGTCATGCCAAGTCTACAATTATTCGTGGGTCTGTGTGGAGGGGGGGAAATGATAGAAATTATTTTTTCAAACACCACAAGTCATTAAAATCAAAAGTAAAAGAGAGATGGGATGAGAAAAAGAAGAGGAGAAGGAGGAAGAGAGAGGAAGAGAGAGGACAGGAGAGGAGAGAAATACAAAGCACAGAGCAGGAAGAGGAGGAAGAGGAAGAGCAGAAGGAGGAGGAGTAGGAAGAAGAAGAAGAAGAAGAAGACAAGAAGAAGAAGAAGAAGAAGAAGATGATGATGACGACTATGATGAGGGGAGGAAAAGGAGGGGGAGGATGAGGAAGAAGAGGACAAGGAAGGGGAAGGAAGAGGAGGAGGGAGAAAAAAGAGGAAGAAATGTAAATTTATATAAACCCAGAAAGAACAGATTTCAGCCATGCTTCAACTCAAATTGTGCATCTCACATAATATTTGAATTCTTGCATATTCACCTCCCCCTCTAGCAGTGATTAATGAATACATGCATATTTATAATTCTGCATAAAAAAGAACAGATATTTCAACTTTTAAAAGGTACTGATTTCAAGCTGGGCAGGAGAGGCAACCAGCCTAAAAGCTTACCTTAGTGAGAGTCTGAGACCCAGTTCTTGTGAAGTAATACCCATTTGCAAAGCAATCAGAATTTACAGCTACACTGAGTCCAGTTCATATCAAATCCCAATCAGGAAAAGAACAGAAATATCAGTGAAAAGTGCCAAGAGATATACTCTTGGGGGGGAAAAAATCCACTTCCAATCTCAAGTTAAAACAAGTCACAGAAAGTTGACGGTGGTGGGTAATGGGGAGGGGGAAGGGGGGAAAGCAAAACAGTAATAGTAAACCAAAACCTCTCCCTAAAAATAATGATAATAATAATAATAAAAATCAGTAAAATGGGAGTTGCAGGAGGGACCTTGGCTCACAAGATTTCCAGAAACCCTAGAATCAGAAAGAAAGCCAGCCTTGTTTTGATGAGATCCCAGATAGTCACCCTACCTGCCAGCAAGGGCAAATAGGCTCCCATGTTCCCAGCAAGGTTGTGAAAGGGCCAGCCTGCAGCAAGAGAGAAGGCAGGCTGGCTAAGGCGGCTGAGTTGTTTGGCTGACTCTCTCCCTCCGCGGCTCTGTCTGCTGAGCTGGGTGGCTCCACAGTTCCCAGTGCAGTTCAGATGCTGTTGTTTCAGCAGTGCAGGCAAGAAACCATCCAGGGAAATGACTATTACATCATCTTAAAGGAATATGGCTTTGAGAAAGCGGAGGGACCTCGGTTTTACATTCTACTTTGTGACAGGTTGTTGGGAATGAAAGGAAGGGCAAATACTCTCATCCAGCAGTAGACGGCAGCCGGGCTGCACTCACTTCACTATTAACTTATATTTAATCCCTGGTAGAAAGAGATGGATTTACAGTGATTTGGGTTGCTTTCGTTCTCTCTTTTTTCTTTCTTTCTTTTTCTTTCTTCCTTCCTTTTTTCCTTCCTTTTTTCCTTCCTTCCTCCCTTCCTTCCTTTTTTTTTTTTTGGAAAGATTCCCCAGAGGTAAGATAAACACAAGTGATTTCTTATTTGAAAACAAGTTATAGGCGAGCCTTTTGACATGAATTGAATTTCTGCTTGAAGGGCAAACATATATTCCTAACTCTGTGGGGAGTCTTCTACCTGGTTTTGATGAAATGCGTTCAATACTGCCCCCCCAAAATGATACAAATATACAAAGTCTGTATCCATAGGGGGACTTTTTTTATTCAAAAGTATTTAATTCATAGTTTCTCAAATCTCATCTCCTTTCCCTCTTTCTCTTCCTTGGAATTAAAGTCAAACAAAGACCAACAAAAAGAAAGTAAGCACTCTTTGGACTAAATGGTTGAGGGCCGGGCAGAAACAACAATGGTTTTTTCCCAACCTGTTAAAAAAACTTTCCACTCGAACCATTTCTAAGGTATCCCCCAGAGTCAATTACCATTTTGAAACCCCCACAACTTATCTCACTATGACTTTGGATGAAACCTCCACCCCTATCCCTACAATATTACTGTTTCTATTCCCTTGAGAGTGCTCTTAAGTGCATCATTAGAGTTTTAGGAAATTTCTTCTAGAGCAAGATAATACATATAACAAACTGCAGTCAGTTTTGACTGCCAGTCAATAATGGCCTGTCTATAATGCTTACAGTAATTCATATCCATTTCCCTTTTTAAAAGTTAATGTGCTTTATAGTTCATATGCCTGAAAAGAATATCTTATTTTATATGAATAATAAATGTAGTATTTCAAACACTCATTCAAAATGGGTCCCCAAAAAAGGAACAAAAAAGAAAATATATATTAACTAAATTTCATTTGGCACGTTGGTTACTTTCTATTCCTTGACCAAACAAATAATTTGATTTTATTGTTTTGGAGAAATTAAAAAAAAAACAAAAAACAAGCAAACAAAAAACAACAAACCCACTACAAAAACCTAGCATAAATCAGTTTCTAGCTTAATTACCTTTCCTCCTGATAACCATAGGGCTATGCTCATCCTAAGAATTCCTCATCACTTAGTTTTACTTAATTTCTGCAACGTTTAACCTGTTTGGGCTTTAAACACAATTTCCCTAATATTCTGAGCAAGGGAAGAGGTTAGTCTATTTAGTGCTCTTATGGCTCCATCTAGTGGCCATATCCTATGAATGCGAAGTTGAGGCTGCCTGTATCCAGTACTGTGTAATCCTGAGAAAATACTGATTTTCATTTATTCTCTTTTCCATTTTGGATAAAGGCTTTTGTTTATGTGCTACCCCGACTTCAACCTAGATAACTTAGAAATCATTTTCCTATTCTTTTTCTCTCCTAGTCAAGAAAACAAGGAGATTTGGTGTCGTTCGGTGGAAAGAATGTGAAGCTTAGTTCAGAATCTCAGCTTTCCCCTATTTTTACATTATGGTAATAATCAACGTGTGCCAGGCTAGTTGTATTGTCCCCATATTTATAGAGCGATTCTACAGGAGGTTGGTAGGATAGGTAGCATGATACAGTGGAGAAAGTGTTAGATTTGGCACCCAAGAACTTGGATTCAAATCCTGCCTTTCCCCTTAAGCATCTTTCTCACCTCTTTACTCTTAAAACATTAGGAGGTTAGACTAGATGACTGGTAAGGTCCTTACCAACTCTAGATCTATAATCCCACACCTTCTCACTCCCCACAAAAATGACTTTTCATTATTGTTACGAATAACTAGTTTTGTTTTTGTTTTTGTTTTTGTTTTTTGGTGGGGGGAAGGGATGGGGAGGATAGGTTAATTCTCATAGAACAGGCCAATTTAGAGTACCAACCACTTTCAGAGTCTGGGTGAGTAAATTCTTGCCAGAAGATCTTTAAGGAGGAAGAAGGGAGAGAAGGAAGGAAACAAACCTACTATGTGTCAATGACTTTGCAAAGTGCTTTATAAATATAATCTCATTTGGTCCTCACAGCAACAGATGCTATTGTTATCCTGATTTTAGAAATGGGGAAATTAATGCAGGTAGAGATCTAGGTTCACACCACTAGTTAGTGTTTGAGGCTGGATTTGAACTCAGGTCTTCCCGACACCCACCCACTCACTTCCCACCCCCACAGATAACTAGGTAGGACAGCAAGTAGGAGCTGGGCCTGAAATCAGGAAGACTCATCTTTCCGAGTTCAAATCTGCCCTCAGATACTTACTAGCTGTGTGACCCAGAGGAAGTCACTTAACTGTTTGCTTTAGCATCTTCGTCTATAAAAGGAGCTGGAGGAGGAAATGGCAAACTACTCCAGTATCTCTGCCCAAATGGAGTCATGAAGAGTCAGACACAACTGAAATAACTGACCCTAGACTCACCATTCTATCCACTAAGTTACTTAGCTGAACTGAGATGAATGAGGCAGGGTTCCAGAGAAAGACAAATCCCAGAACAGAAGAGCTAAAATTACTGGAAGGAAGCTTTGAGATGACCTTGTCTAATTCTCTCCCAGTGAAGGTCTCCTGCCTCCCATTTCAGTGCTGGTCCCATCTCTCTGGTCAAAAAAGAAGGGTAGGAGGGTTTGTAAAAATATACTATGACCACAAACTTAGTTAATACACTTTTTAGTTTTAAAAAAAAGGGTTAGCTTTTTTCATAAAATCTTTCATCAAACATTTAATATTGTGCAACCAACTAAACTTACTTAGTAATTATTTACATCTGAATTCATTCCCATCCATAAAAAAAAGGACATTTTTTTCCAATCATCTCCTACAATTCCCATCTGGATTCTTTGTTTATCCATTCATTCTCATTCACTTTGACTGTTCTGTGGTCATAGTTAGTGTTCCATAAAGGTGTTTATAGATTTCTTTGCATTGCTCATATTTGTCATTCTTAATGAGAAGCATGTTGCACAGTGGAGAGAGAACTGTAGTTAGAGGGAGAAAAACATGGATTTGAATCTTATGTCAGATAATTATTACCTACGTGACAGTGGATAAACCTCTCTCTGCCTCAATTTCCTCATCTATAAAACAATGATTAAAAGCAATCCTTACTTCATAGGAATGTTGTGAGGCTCAAACCAGCTAATTTATGTAAAATGCTTTGCAAATCTTAAAGCACTACATAACTGTAAGCTACTCTTAATGACATTATAGCTTTCTATTATGATAATACACCATAATTTAACCTTTTCCTCTGTTTTTAAAAT